CAGCCAAATTTGGCGACGCAAACCCCACTTCCACCGTGGTTGGTACGCCCTCCAACGACGAAGTCCGGACAAAGGAGGAGGGATTACGGGGGAGGGAAAAGCACCTTGAAATCACTTCCGCTGATACAGCCAAAATACTACCGTAGAGCAAGAGATTCCGTCTGAGAACTGGATCAAGGAACAATGCCTCTTCTCTCTCTGGTGACGGAGGCCAGCAGCAGGTGATGCTGTGTTTACCGCGCGGTAAAGTTTGTGCTTCTTTACGTAGGGAGGTGTGAATGCGACGTGTTACGGAGGGCGATGGCCTCGGTTATAATGTCCACCGAGAGGAGGGAAGGAACTTGAAGCTCCGGAGAAGAAGAATCTGTGCCTTCGACTGTCTGCTGGCTGCTGTGAGCTCCGGTGTGGTATTGATTACGATGCTGCACTGCGTTATCGTTTTGGCAGCTGGAAATTATTCGAGACCGGCCGCGGTGAAATCGAAGAGGTCTTGAGGGAAGTAGAGGGTGAGGGGGAGGACGCTGGGGGTTGGAGTTTGAGGCTTGCGTTGACGAACAGCGAATGTTTATGCTAGGAATGGATGTCTGGTGGGCGGAGGTTGTGTCCAGGCGCCGATGGAGAGGTTTCGAGGATTTGTGCGAGGTTAGGAATGGATCTTTCAAGTTTAACCACGTAGGTGCTGCTAATTTGTAATGTGGCCGAGGTTAACGGCGTGTGAGGCAAACTGTTGTGGTAGTGAATTGGGGGAAGAGTTCGCTCTTTTAGTTTCTTAGGTTGGTTTTTAGTAGCTGTCCAAGATACAGAATGTTTTCAAGTGAACTGGTTGAAGTGGTTTTGCTGATGCGATGCTGGTATTGAAAACGTGGAAAATTTCATACCCCGACACTGGTCTGGAGCACAGCTCGACCGTGGGAAGTGATTAGTAATATCCATATAACTTTTTGACCTTGAGATACTTTCAAATTTGGTGCGATCAATGCCTAGGAAGGAGGTAGCGTTAGACGAGCATTTATGAGCTGTTGACTCTTGGCTTTAGTGGTGCTCAATGAGCACAGCCTTCTGCCAATTCTAGATTGTCTTAACTATAGGTGTCTCCCTTGAGTAGCGCGAGACACATGATGGCAAACACGCAAAAAGCTCAATGTATCGGTTATGCTGTCAGCTTCTGGAACAATTAGTGCCGTGTTTGATTCAGACACGCAGTGCGATTCTGTGTCTGAAGTCTTGTCAAGTCCAACCATTAACCGTTTCTGGATTGACGGTACTGTCAACGGGAGTCATCAGATTAGTACGTGTTATATTATTGATGTAGCAGAGTGTTTGCTAGTACTGAGTGGGAGTTCATGTATGCAGGCATGATGAAGGTGCTTCCGAATCTACATGGACATCGAGATTCTGTAGGATTCACAGATATTTTGTATAATACAGATATCTTCAAGCCGCAGCTGCTTGTTGTGCGAATTCTTGAATATGACTTTGTAGGGTTAAGCCTATGCGGAGGAAATGCTTAAGAACGTTAGGTTTTAACAAGTCGGCTTTATAAGTTTTAGAAGTGACCATTTGGTTGCGGAGAGAGCCATTTCTGGGTGATCATTTGGTTGTGATGCTGATTTCAACACAACGTTGTGGTAGCATGAAAAAAAACATCACGAAGAGCTATTATGTCTTGTCATGTTACGTTAGACTTACTGAGGAGTTTTTGCTAGTTCGGACCAGGATTGCAGTAATTGGAGATCAGTATCTATGCCTATGAAAAATCGCTCTGACCGGTATCTTTTGTATCCGCAGCAGTATTGAGATCCAACTTAATTGAGAGCGGATACAGGAAAAGCTAAGCGAGATAGCATACATAATTTTAGCACAAGAGTCAATGGGGGGAGGAGTAGCTTCAGAGGGGCAAATGGAAAAGCGAAAATATCCTTACGGAGCATCAGATTACAAGCTGTTTGAGGAGGTAGGACAAGGTGTAACTGCGACAGTGTATCGGGCACATTGTATTCCTTACAATGAAACCGTGGCCATCAAGAGCTTGGACCTCGAAAAATGCAACACCAACTTGGTAATGTATTCTGATGTTTTGTTTGTTCAATCTATCTGCCGCTGAAGAAGATTTCTTGATTCGTTTGTAAAATCTATTCATTTTCATACAAGCGAGGGTTTTTGACAGTTACAGGGAAGTTCAGGTCACGTTTCTACTTTGTTATTCTTGATGATGGAGCTGTTCATTGGGGCACAACTAGTTGCTTGAGAGTTGTCACCTCCTTTAAAAGCTTTTTGTGTTCCGATACAACCCGCATCACCCCAGAGTAATTGACCTGAAGTTACTTTTGTATTCATGAAAGTTAAACTGATTCACCTAATAAACGCGAACTATAGTTACTGGGTTGAACGTCGTCAGCTGCTGGTCCTCATGCTCTTCCCTGAGGACAACTTTGAAACTGATTGTACCTAACCAATTTCTGTGTTACATTATTTTTCTCTGTAATGATCCTCGTATTATGCTGATGAGAAGGGCTGCGCATTGCAGGATGATATACGTCGAGAGGCTCAGACAATGAGCCTTATCGATCACCCAAATGTTGTAAAGGCGTATTGCAGCTTTGTGGTAGAACAAAGTCTTTGGGTAGTGATGCCCTTCATGGCAGGAGGGTCTTTTCTACATATCATGAAATCAGCTTTTCCGGATGGATTTGATGAGCCTGTTATTGCAACGGTGTTGAAAGAAACCCTGAAAGCATTAGAGTATCTCCATCGTCATGGCCATATCCATCGGGATGTGAAGGTACTCTAGTACACGCACTGTATTGCTATTTTAACGTTCTCAAGGTGTTGGAAAATTTCTTGTGTTCCATGCAAGAATTTGTGTATGAACAATTTTTATCCTTGGTTTGACCATTGGAGTTTTTCGAGTCTTTATTTATGCCTTTAGCTATCAGTGTATAGATATCAAATTGTAGTATTACACTTATCCCACCATTGGGAAGATGATGGCTAGTCATTCGTAGTTTTTAAAATGTTAAGATTTTGAGGGGGCTTATATTAGACCTACGTGAGCTTTTTAATTGTTTCTTGATGAGTTTCTTAGTGAGTTTCTCAGTGCTGTGCAGGCTGGCAACATTTTAGTCGATGCAGCTGGAGCTGTTAAGCTTGGCGACTTTGGCGTTTCCGCATGCTTGTTTGACACTGGTGACAGACAGCGAACCAGAAACACTTTTGTTGGAACACCTTGCTGGTAAAAGCCTGCACCATGTTATCAGGAAATAAGAGGGTGCCAGTCTCAAATTACAATACATCGATCACGTGAATAAATTTTCATTTGAATTGTACCTAATCAATTAAGGTTTTTAAAAGGTTGATGCTGCCACACCATGGAATGCTAAATTGACCTGGCGTGTGCATTGAAGGAAACCAACAATGCGGCTCAGTTTTAGTCCATGGTCAAAAACATTTCATTGATATAATTAAGCTATGAAATCGAAAAAGTTTACCACTGTGAAGTCTCGTGATGTGACATTTACATTGTCAATGTTGGTTGTACAGGATGGCACCAGAAGTCATGGAGCAGCTTCACGGCTATGACTTCAAGTGAGATATATTCTGTTATCGTGGTATCTATGAAGATAAATGTTCTTATTGGTGTTCTAACACCCGTGCAGGAGTCAATGAACATCATCAGCAACATGTTCTTTACGGCCCAGAAGAAAAAAAAAAAAAAAAATGGTTCTTTTTGAGATCGCAGGAGCCGTTAGCTACTTGTTGTCTTGGATTCGAAAAGAGGGTTTTTATAATCATTAAAGCTCCGTTCATTGCAGGGCTGACATATGGTCGTTTGGGATTACTGCACTGGAGCTTGCACATGGTCATGCTCCATTCTCAAAATATCCTCCAATTAAGGTGAGATGTTTAGTTTCATGATAAGTAGCCCGTAGTAACTGGGACTGCAATATTCAACAGCTCTATTCTTTTGTGTTAGGTTTTGGCCAAATCTTTTGAATAATCTACTTACGCCGTGGTTTACAAGTGGTCGCTCTGAGTTTCCGTATTTTTAGATCAAACCAGCGACTGACGACGAAAGAGTGCAACAGGTGTTGTTAATGACGCTACAAAATGCTCCGCCTGGACTAGACCATGAGCGCGACAAAAAATTCTCAAAGGTTTGGAAGCTTCTCAGTAGCCAAGTTTTGTGGCGATTTCTGCTGAGTAGGCCGTGTTCTGTGTGAGGGGTGTGTATACTCTCCCATAATTTCAGCGATTCTAGCTATTGAAGCGTGAAACAACAGTAAACCATCAACGTCGTGTCTCCCGTCAGTCACTCTGAACAATTGAAACAAAATCTCTTTCGACATATAGCGACAAGAAGCAGCGTATGTTTTAGTGTTGTTTGAATAAGTTTATTAGTAACCACATTGTCAACTTTGTTGAGCTCGTGATCCACAACAATCATTTTTGCCCACTTTTGTGCAGTCTTTCAAGGAGATGATTGCAATGTGTCTAGTGAAAGATCCAGCCAAGCGCCCGAGTGCTGATAAGCTGCTAAGACATTCCTTCTTCAAACAGGCTCGTTCAGGTGATTATATAGCACGCAATGTTTTATATGGACTTCCGCCTTTAGGGGAACGTGTAAAGAAGCTGAAGGTACTTTCCTTCAAACCAGGAGTATGCTTCATCGTCTCTTGTGGTTCTTTTCAGTCATGAAGCTGCATAGTTTAAGAATGCCTTGTGCACTGATATTTATGGTAGATTGGCTTCACTTGTTTGCACTGTTCAATTACAAGAGGACAGTAAAACACGTTTGTCATCTACAGTGCATCGATAGTGGTCGATGTTTGATGTCTACTTTAGATAATTACTTTGTGCTGTGGTCGATTAGCTACAGGATTTTAAATACAAGTGGTTCAATTATAGTACATTCTTGTTCATGTTACTGATTATTTGCGTAATTTTTTCTTTGATTTGAGTAGGTCAACGATGCCAACCGACTTGCTCAAAATGAGCAGGAAGTGCAATCCCAGGTGCAGTGCGTCGTAACAATTCAGATCTAGACTTGCCTGTTCGTGCCTATGTCTTCAGACTGGATGTATCTCTACAAGTCTTGTTTTTGTAAACAACTATGTCTATGCAGGTCTGTGCATGCCTGTCCTTTTCTTCTTTCTTCGCTTCGACTTCATTAAAGTAAGTAAGATGACGAAAGAAGTATTACATTGATAATGCTGATGTTATGTAGCGTCCTTTGTTTGTAACAGAATGAATACAAGAGGGGAGTAAGCGGCTGGAATTTCGACCTTGACGATTTAAAGGCAGAGGCTGCCCTGGTACGTCTCTTCGTTCTAGTCATGGTATTGACGATGCATGGAGCGGACTGCTTGACAGGCTTGGGTACGCAGACACACCTTTTTGACTAACAGCAAAGAACAAAGATCCAGGCTGACAAGCTCAGAATGGAAGCCTGGAGAAAAGTGGTTTTAGCAGTCTCCGATTAATCTCTCATAAACTAATATTCCATTATTTGCATAGATAAAATTGGATTGCTTTTCCTCAGTTGCATGACTACTTATTTCATGGCTGTCTAAGCCATCGTGAAATTTCTGATGTTGACAAGTCAGGTTTTCTGCAGCTGACTTATTAAGCCTTTATCAACAAATGTTTAATGACGTGTTCCCAGATACAAGACGGTGATGAGGATCTATCTATGGTTGTTGGAAAAGACGTGATAGTCGTGGAAGAACAGGAGGTGACAAAACTCCAAGTTCTCCCCTTTATGGAGACGGATGGAGATGTACCCTCACACTGTCTAACTCCATCACCTCCACCTTCCCTTAGTCGACAGCCGTCGATCGATAGATTCCAGCAACCAGTTACGATACATTCCATAATTGCTGAAACTACAAGTGATGTAAGTGCTCAATGAACCCTAGAGCAAATTCAAGTTGGGGATTAGTCGGAGGTACTCGTCGGAAAATTGGACGTATTAATCAGACATGTCAATTCATTCTTTTTCTTGCCAGTTTCTTTTTCTCACATCACCACCATGAATTGTCCATTGTGTGGATTTGTGAATACTACATTTAGACATCATAGCCAGAAAATTCCTGAAATGATTATGGAGATTCACATATTACAGTTTCCACAGGCAGGAGAGCGAGTGACAAGAGTGCGATCAGGGCCTCTTCCAAATCCTGTCCAAACCAAGCCTACAAATGGGATGAGGTATTGTCGGCTAGCGCAACCAAGTTGATGACCTTGACTTCAGTGTTTCGAATGGAAGTCTTTTTCATTATTCGGAAGAACAGATCTCTTCCTTGCAGCTGACAATGATTTATGACTCTTCTTGACGCGCGTGTAGAGGCCGTTTTGAAGTATGGGAGGACAATAATCCCGAAAGTCCAGTTTCGCATGGTTCGCCAAGGGAGAGCCGACGATCAGCGGAGGACAAAGAGCCATCCCGACGAGAGAGGGACAGCAGAGAATTTCGCAAAGCTGATGATAGAGAGAGAAAAGAGGATAGAGAACAAAGGCGTTCGGATGAGCGAGGTGATCGAGATGCGTTTCGTCGTGTAGGAAGTTTTGGATCTGAGCGTGTTCTTTCATCAATTCGTGGTCTCACCATGGATTCACGAGAACAGGACAGGTATGGTTTCGTTCTTTTCATTTTCCTCGTAGACTTTGCTGATCTCATGAACGCCAATTAAACTTTATTTTATTAAAAAATGATTTGTATGTTACTGTACTTGAGCTCATTGATGGACTATTCCGTAATGATACACTTGTTGCTTGTAAATTTTCTTTTGTAATTATCTGACCGGTTCTCTCTTCCTGTTAAGTTTCTTTTATTTTCGTTTCTAGGTGGATTAGTTCCCTACTTTGTTTTATTTGTTGGTTGTGTTAGTAATTGGATGTTTATTCGGTTCTTTGTGATTCTGCTTCTCAATATTGTTTTCCCCACAGAGACAGAGATATTCGCCAAAATGGACGAAATGGTGAGGAACTCATTCGATACGGGCCACGGGAACGTTCTTATAGCGGGCCCTTACCCTCTCCTGTTGATCGTTCTATTGCCGATTATCGGCTAATCAACGGAGGTCAAGGAGTTTTCAGACCAACTTCTTCTGTGCTTTTCAAATGATAGATGAACACGTCGGTTATTTTCAAGAATTTAACTAGTTTTTATCACGAAACACTATTCGTAAGTAGTTTTGGTCATCATGCCATGTGCACGCTGCCTAGTTTGATGCATGGTATACGGCAGTTTGATGACTCGACTCCGTTTTAAATTAACAGGGAGCAAGGAGACGTTGGAGGAAAAAACCAAATATCTTGGCCAAAAGGGTTCGGTGCTCCAGAAAGGACGCTTCTCAGTCACTTCAGATGACATGAACTTGGAGGTAATATAATCAAGGGCATCGCTGCTACTAATCAACGCAAAATCTGGCATAAGGATGGTGATGTAATGCACAATTGTCAACACAATATTAATAGAATATATGGATTACGTTACTGTAAATAGGATTAAGTATTGCAAAGTATTTGCTAAGCAATTACTTCCTTCAGAACTCACCTGGCTGTTTCATGTACGTTACACTTAATTACCCTGATCATAGGAATAGTGATTGACAGTATTTTCGTTGATATCCTTTGTAGGATTCGCCGCATGTGAGCTCAAGAAAATATTCGAACGTCCCAGTAAGCACCTTTAAATACTCTATATTCTGCTCACCAAAATCTCTCTTCAGTCTTTAGCTTTACTGTCATGATGTTTTTGATTGTCATTCATGCATATCTGGAGTTGTGTAATGATTCGAGTGTCTAGTATGATCAGATACACCAAGATAGTCATGGTTGCTCAATGTGCAGACACCACTTCACAAGTCCGCCAGTGCTAGCGAGTGGTCCAACGATCGAAAAGTCCTTGTATGTTTGAAATCTCTTCTCCTTGAGTTCACTTCCATTTCGTCATTCAGCTCATACTCGTCTTGCCGTTTCGGTGAAAGGATTTAAAAAGTAGAACCTTGCCAATTCTAGCGAGTGATCTGCTTTTTCATCGTGGTTATCTTTGCGAATCTAGATAATTTGGAGGTTTCGTGGTGCTACGGACCTATTTGTAGTCTATCAACCTCGGGGCTGTAGTAACAATCTAGGTATTTTGTGACAGTATGTCTGCTATGAAATATGTCACATTGTTTTGTTGATACATCCAACTTCTATAGAATAATTCGTAAGTTGATACCATGTTAATTGATGTTGATCGATTGTGTGATGTTTATTGATCTTGTAAAGGGTTTGCAAAATCCCGCATCTCCCAGCCAACAGTCGATAGCATCAAGTCAAAATATTAGTGGAGCAATATCACTTTGCGCTGGAATTATGCCTCAGCTACATCAAATTCTTCAACATGGTCAAAGACAACAGGTAAAAGCATTGTATCTTCAACACTAATATCCATAGTATACACTCTAGCAAATTTATTTAGAAGCTATCATCGTTGTAATTCATTGGCGAGGTAGGCAACCAACAAATATGAAAGTGATGGAAGTCATTCAACTTTCTACAAATGAGCAGATGTGGATCAAGGATTGATGTTAGTGATGTACTGTAATACTAGAAAGAGACTGCGGTTTCTTAACAACGAAAGAAAAAGAATAGTCAATTAATTTACTGTGCTTTGTAATGGGCGATGACATGTAATGTTTGAGGTCTTGAATTTTCTGTTGATGTTTCAAGCTCCCGATCTTACCTCGTATTCCATGCAGGAAGGTATCTTGAATCTCATTCAGTCTCTCAGTCCAACTGACGCTGCCAACTGTAAGTTTCTCTAAGTTCTATACAAATGTAGCACACCTGCGTTGAAGTTTTGGTGTCTTCTGTCAATATATTTTATTGTGGAGTTTTGGATTAAGATATGCTGGAAACCTTCATCCATGCCTCCCCCGCATATAAAATTTGAAAACTACCTATGATAAAGAAATACTTAAGTCTAACTACCAACGTGATCATTTCGTGGATGCAGTACAAGCTTTAAATTCTGCTTCACGTTACCTGCGAAGCTTAAGCGCAAACTCTGTTGATTCGTCGGTGAGCATATCCAATAGAATATGTTTCAGAAATTTTATTGCTTCTACTAAACTCTTAGACTATCCAATGTCATGGATGAACTTAAAATAGAGTCTTAAATTACCCATTCTATGAAGAAGATAGTATCTTTATATGTTTCTCTGTGATGTCTCCTAGAGCTAGTCTGTCTGTGCAAGGTTTAATCTTGAGGTATAGCTTCTCCGTAACTCTTCCAGTGGTTTTCATGCAGAGTGGGTGTGGTTCACCAAGAAGTCCACAGTGCGGATCGCGAAACCGCCCAAGCCAGGTGTGGTACTGGTTTGCTCATAATTCTTGAATTGGTCGTTACACTGAGTCTCATCTAATTTCGTGATATGAGGAGAAAGGTGCATAGCATTCTTGAATGCTATGCGCAGTACAACCTCCGGTTGGTTGCGTGGATCATCCATGTGTCAGCTCAAACTCATTGCCTCGTTGCCTCACCGTGCATATCGGATCCTCTCATGATCGTTACCGTGTAATGTTGATGCAAGCTGTCTTCACAATAGAATCAATAAATATCTCTAAATTATTACGTGAGGACCAGAAACGAATATCCGCTTGTGTAACGAGATGGTATGTCAAAAAAGAACCGAAGTGCTCGAAACAAACTTTTCTCTTTGATACATTCTATGATCAATCTCAAGATGAATTGTTTCCATCTTAATTTTCAGGTTGAGGCATCCCATAAGGGATACTACAATTGTCAACTTGAGGTGTCAACAGACAAGGAGCGTGAGCTTCTTCATCAAGTATCTGAACTGCAGGCCAGGTATTACAACTCTTCCGAACTTTGAATTTGTTTGCCGTTTGATCATGTAACTTCTAGGCTAGGCAGGCCCTCTACACGCGTCACGTAAATTCTTCTGTCAAAGTTGAAGCATATTTTCAAGACCTCTCACATGGCATTTTGCTTGGCAGGATGGCTAACCTTGTTGACGAACTGCAAACAGTGAAGCTGCGAAATGTTTCGGTAAGGTTACTGAACACAAACCACACCAAACTGTAGTCCCTAATGTCCTCTTGAATGTCCAGTTGGTGAATAACAAGTCTGACGACTTTTTTGACACTCGTCAAGTCGTTCTCTGTAGGAAGAAATCGCGTCGTACACGGTCAAACTTTATCGAATATCCTCATGGAACTCCTAATTTTCGGTTTGTGAGTATTGTCCAGCTTGAACGCCAGTTGAATGCTATCTACAACAAAGAGGAAGAAGAAAGGATAAGGAAAGAGGACGCGGCCAGAGAGAGTGGGTGACCTTTTTAGAGGTCATCAGCTTGATATGCCAGTTAAAGCCGTCGAAGTATATAGTGCCTACCAGGTGGGTTACTGAGCTAGGAGTTTATTTCAGATTACTAGATCAAATTTGAAACATCTGTCTTCTTGTTTTTAGAACTAGTGTACTCAGATATTTCCTCTGACAAAAGAATGGTAATACATCTAGGATAAAAGTCAGCAAATAGGAGATTTCAAGCAGCAGACCGTCGGTTCAAAGATGATCAAAAGAGCTCCTTCGTCAAGGCGCGTCAAAACACAGGGCCACAGGCTTCTTACCGAAAAACATACATAGTACTGTGTCTCATGTCTTGTACTTTTGACCTCTTTTGAACCACGGGACAAACACTCTCTGGTTAGATTATCGTAACAATACGAGGATTTGATGGAAGTTCTAAGATGAGGAATGCCCTGTTGTATCTGCATCTATTCAAGAATCCTCTCAAACAAGACTGGTTACTCTTCATTACCTCTGAAATCTTCGGCCCTCAAGGTGATAGAGCTGTTATTTCTTATTTATTTTCTTTTATGAGTGTAGGTTATCATACTATGTATTGAGAACTTGTTCACTATGGGCTTGCATTTCTAACATCCCAACCATGATTGAATATTCATTGTATCATGGAGCTTTATTTGGAAAGTCAGCTGTGTGAATTATTATATTAGCAATAAAGATACTTTTGCTTGTACAGTTTGACACTTAAGACTCAGCAAACAGCAAAAGAAAAGCCATGCAATCAACTTGGTAATAACACACAAAGTCTAAGTGGTTATTTTTTTTTAATTAATTGCCTCTGTTTAAATGTCTGTATTTGAATTTAAGAGAATTAATCCATTATCAGTAAAATATAATTCATACCTCCACCAAATCCACCTCTTAGATCTATTCTTACTTCTATTGTGCTCTCTTCTTAAATCTACTTAGCATATATTGGATGTTGAGTGCATGTCTAAGAATTATGTTCTTGTAACTAACAAATCTAACATTTCTAACATTTTTGTGGGCCATTGTGAATACCTCAAGGGTCTTGTTAACCTTCAAAACACAATTTCTAAAACACTAACCTCAATTGAACCTCAATTATTTTAGATTTGACTATTCAGTTGGATTCAAATTCATAATTCACATTTAGCACAACTTGTACCAACACACAAAATTTCATCCATAGATTTGCTATAAAATTCACACAATTTATCAAAATGTAGTCCTCTTTTTATTTAGCACAAAACAACTTCAACTTTGCTAAGCTTTCACAAAGTTAATATAAAGTGAAATGACTTAAAATTTGTTGAGATCATTAAATGTAGTTGGCACTCTCCATAATATTTACTGTAGACTATAGTAAATACCATAGCTACAATATTTAGAGTCTAGTGGAGAAGTACTGTTTATCCTCTCCTCTCTTTTCTCTTCTTGTATATGAGACACAACCAGATCAAGAGATTTTTGTGTGTGTGAAGCTCTCTCCTTAGAAACCCTCTTGTCTGTATGACTTACTACTACTCTTGTGTGTGTGTATGATTTACTATTACTCTTGTGTCTTTCTAAACATTCTCAACACGTTATCAACTCTCTTCTACATACCATCACAATTTTTTGCTCTAGTCTTTGACTCTTCAAACCTATTCCTACCCTTACTCAGTGTCTGGGTCATGATCTTGTTCTTCTTGCTAGTCCCTCACACATTAGCTGCTTGCTTAGAGCACTTGTTCCACTCCATGCTCTGAATACTTGATCCAGCCCAACTCCACCCTCTGCTTGTTCCGTGCTCTCTACTGCGCCCCCTGCTTGTCGCCAAACAGATGTCGAACAACCACCAAATCCACCGCTACCACCCTGTCGCCGCTAACGCTGTCGCCCGCCACCGTCGCCGCCCTAACGCCACTGCCGCCGTCGCCGCTGTTCGTTGTCGCTCGCCGTTGCCAGCCATTGTCCGCCGTTGCTATCCATCGTTGCTCGTCGCCGCCCGCCGCTGCAACCTTGCCGCCCTACCGCTACCTGCTGCTGCCATCTTATTGCTGTTCTGCTACCTTAATCTACAACTCTTTCTACTTAAAAATATATATATATATATATATATATATATATATATTTATTTTTTCAAGTTTAAGTTTATTATTTTATTTGACTTTATATTTTAAGATACGTTTTATTCAATTTTTCTACTTGATCTTGTATTTTCTTTACAGATTTATTTATAATGAGTGCTTCAACATCTTCAACTGGTTCTACTATGGTTCCAACTATTACCAGTGCATCTCAACATTTTCAAGCTCTTTTATTTCCACCATTGACTGTGGATGGAAACAATTATCTATTATGGGCAAAAATGGCAAAAGCAAATTTATTTGCAAAACAACTCTTGGATGCCATAATGTTTGAAGAATCTCCTACAACAAGTATTTCTATACCTCTTGCTATTCGTTGGAAAGCACTTCTTCTCCTTCGTCGTCATCTTGTACCTACATTACAACATCAATATTTGGAAATGGAAGACCTTGCAGAACTTTAGAAGAGTTTTAAATCTAGGTTTGTTCATCAAAAGACCATTTTTCTTCCACGTGCACGTCATAATTGGACACATTTACATGTCTTGGATTTTCCAAATTTAAATGCTTTCAATAGTGAAATGTATAGTATTGTCTCACAATTAGGATTATGTGGACAAAGCATTTCTGAAGAAGAAATGATTGAAAAAACTCTCTCTATATTTCCTCATGTATCTACTGTACTTGCACAACAATATATGAATATGAAATTTCAGAGTCATTTTGATCTCATATCCTATCTATTTCTTGCGGAGAAGCAAAATGAGCTACTCTTGCGCAATGTGGAAGCTCGTCCTATTGGAACTATAGTTCCAGAATCTCATGCACTTAATATTTCAAAGTCTAAGAAGAAATTATATAAACATGGGAAACATGCTCATAAGTATCAAGGTAGTCATAGTCAAGACCATTTCTACCCATATGGAAAGAATAAACGTTCTACTATTAATTATAGTAAAAAATAAAAATCAGAGATGCATTCTTGCCATAAGTGTAGAATAATTGGACATTTAGCACATGCGTGCCGTACTTTAGAATATTTTATTAAAATATTCCAAGAAAATAAGAAATTACGAGTTGAGGCTTGTGAAGTTCATACCATGGATGCGTCCATGGATTCAATTGGTGTTGATGATTTAGAGGCTTATATGAATGATAAAACCTCTAATGATGAATCAAATGATGCGCTCATTGGTCCTGCAACAACACATACTATCTTGCGAGATAGACGATTTTTTATTGAAAAATCTTCAACTTGGCAAACTAAAAATATGATTACTATGGTTGGAGCAAATGCGTTTTGTTTCTAAGAGGGCACAACGATGGTAAAATTACCTGCGGGTTCCATCATAAAATCTAAACATGCAATGTTTGCACCCTCAACACCTCGGAGTCTGATCAACTACCGAGATGTGCCTTTTAATGGTTATCACATCTCGACCGCCACTTTAAATAAAAAAGAGGTTTTGGTTCTTGCGAAGAACCATAAAGTTGTTGAAAAAGCTTTTGCTACAGAAAATGGTTTATACCGAATTGTGATTTGGCTTCCCATTATATTTAATTTTGTATCATCTATCTCAAAGAGTCGTATTTCTCTCTAGCATGGACGATTGGGACATCCAGGATCCACATTATTTAGAAAGATCATTCCATGTATAACTGGGCTTAATTTAAAGCCTGCAGATGTAGACGCTATAGAATTATGTCGTGCATGTGTATAAGGTAAAATGATTATTCGGCCTTCAATTTGGAAACTTCCGCAAGAATTACCACCAATGCTTGAAAGATTGCATAGTAATATTTGTGGTCCTATTAATCCAATATCAAGACTATTTTATTATTTTTTGGTCTTTGTTGATGCATCAGGTAAACAATCACATATTTCATTATTATCAACTCGAAACATGGTGTTTGCCAATCTTATATCTATGTTTATTCACTTTTGGATACATTTTCCTGATTATCCTATAAAAACATTGCGTATGGATAATGCAAAAGAATTTGCATCAAAGTCTTCTGAAGACTATTGTAGTGCAATAGGAATCGAGTTGACATATTGTGTTCCATATGAATATGCTCAAAATGGACTTGCAGAGTCATTTATAAAACATATACAACTCATTACCCGGCCACTCTTCCTTCACGCAAATCTACCTGCATCTATGTGGGGTCATGCAATTTTACATGCTGCAGCATTAATACGCCTTCGCCCTTCTTCTCTTGAAATTGTTTCACCACATGAGCTCATTTCGGGTCATGTTCCAAATGTATCTCACTTACGAGTATTTAATTGCCATGCTTAGATTCCAGTACCAGAACATCAATGGCGTACCATTGGAGCTCATCGACAAGAAGGCATATATGTTGGTTTTGATTCACCAAGCATTATTCATATTGTTGATCCATCAAATGGCACATTATTATGTACACGTTTGCAAAATTGCCGTTTTGAAGAAAATGTATTTCCATTTCTTCGAGGAGGAGTATCCAATCAACAAAGAAATAAAGTACTCATATTTGAAGCACTAGAAACGTTTACAATGAATCCCGATCCTAGGACATCTTTGGCAGAAATTGAAGTTGCTAAGATTTTGCATTTAAAACGGATCCCAGATAAAATACTTGATGGCTTCAATGATGCTCATAGAATTACAAGAGTTCCTATTAATGAGGCTCAAAATGCACTTGTTGAGATTGCAGTGCCATTGACTACAATACCTCAAGTTATAACAACAACAACTAAAAGAACTCGTGGACCAAATAAACAACCATGTAAGAAGAAAGCTATAAAATTAACTAATCCTGGTATTATTTTTCAAGAAATTGCCACTCATCTTGCAGGACTACCAATTCATGATGATATATCCATGCATAATGTACGTTCATTTCCTATGAAAAACAATCTTAGAATTCGAAGGAATAAGAACAAGTTGAGTCAAGAATTATCTATTCTGTATTGTGCTACAGATGATATTTGGGACAGACCATCTATTACGGTAGATAAATCATTTGCATATATGATTATAGAAGTCGTTTCTTACGAGGAAGACGACCCTCAACCTCAAACCATCGAAGATGCAATGCATCGCTTATATTGGTCAAAATGGAAAATTGCTATTGAGGAGGAATATGCCTCTTTGCATAAGAGAAAAGTCTTTGGTCCAATTGTAGACACTCTTACATCTCACACTGTGGGATATAAAATGGTACTAATCCGCAAGTGAGATGCTCAAGGCCAAATAACCTGCTATAAAGCTCATCTTATTGCTCAAGGATTTACTCAACGATTTGGCATTGATTATAAATCCACATATTCTCTAGTCATGGATTCAATTACATTTTGATATATTATTGGAATGACAGTTCATGCCACCCTTGAAATGCATCTGATGGATGTAGTTACTGCATATCTATATGGTTCTCTTGATGCAAATATTTATGTGAAAGTTCCACCTAGCTTAGAAACAAGAACTCCAAATCAACCCGCTCTAAAAAAATATTGTGGTATTAAATTATGTAAGGCCTTGTATGGTTTAAAACAATTCAAACGAATGTGGTATCAACATCTTTGAGATTATTTAATTACAAATAATTTTATAAGTAATCCACTAATCCCTTGTTTGTTTATCAAACGAGATAAAACTCGTT